CCCAACCAGGTACTTGACATCTACCAACATGACTCAGTTCACTAGTCAGTGACTTCATGGATTTCTGCCATGTTTTTGTTTGGCCGCCCCTAGCTTTCTACCAACCTACTCTTACACCACATAACATAGCTCGACGAGGCAGTCGGTTGTTGGGCATGCGTAACACACGTCCTAACCACCTCAACTGATGAAGTTTCACTACTTCATCTATTGATCTGCCAACTTTACCTAGGACCAGTTTCCTAACAACAGCCCTACCCACCCGGTTGTCTCACGATACACGAACAATGTTTCGAGTAAACGTATGACGGAAAACCGGCAACCTCTGAATACCTCTGACTCTGAAGGCCATGTTTCGCAGCCATAAAGTAAGATGGAGCGAAATGCTACGCAGTACTCTTGTCCTTTGATTAGCATACGGATGTTTGGCCTACGCCATAAGTGACGCAAGTCACAACCAGAGACCTTACACTGTGTGGGCATCCGCAAGTAATATCCGCTCTCATACACACAAAAGCACACGAGACCAAATCGGTTAGAATTAAATCCTTTCTACACCTCTTAATAACTCCCTTAGTAGAAGATAAGAACCACAAGTTCAGATAAATTGCAAATTCACATGCCTGGAAGAACAATGGTGCAAAGCTATTATTATCTGATGGATTACGACTGAACGCTTCAAAGTCAAGATTCAATCTAAAATATTTGCTGGGGTACATTTTGGTATCTTATAGGTGGCTGGACAAGCTTACGCATTCCTCTTGGTGTCTTCACTGGACTGCGTGTTTTGGCTAGGCGTATTAGGTATTGTGTTATGATGTTCATAAATCGTGCTCCAGATTGTAACGTACGATAATCTATACATTGTATAAATGTGTTATTAGTGTGAGAATAGTAAATCGTTTATAGACGATTCATTTGTCCAGTTCGTAACTTCAAGTCAACACTCCGTTGCATACTACTACTACTGACAGACAATGTTACAAGTAGTATTCACCACTTATCTTCGAAAATCAATATATAATATAGTCAGAGACTTTTTTTCAACAAAGTAAATATTTACTTACACTGTAACATTCATGTGAAATAATTCCACTTGGTAACTTCGGCATAAACATACATCCAATCGTTTGAATAAAAGCCATCATCATACTTACGGCATGCAGTCAGTTAACATGCAAACATTGAGCGAAGTTAACATATGTTCACTTGTCGACGCTTATCACATGTGAATAAGTTGTGCAGTTTGTTAAATATATATATATACATAATAAGATAGTTGTTTTGCTGACATTTATTTCAAACTGATAACTTGTATTTTATTTGTTTTAATCGGCTTATTTCATGAAGTTTGAAATTGAACAAAAAGTTGTTGATTACGTCAGTTTTGGTGTTTATCAAAATAAACACAAATCATTCGATCAAAAATAAAATTATGATTATGTAATTGCTAACTTACGTGATTGTTGTTTATACGACTGAAATGCCAAAGAAACTAACACCAGATGGGAAAGATATGTAATTTGGGATGATAAGCCTATTACCTCTACTAGAGCATTGGCTGCCGATCAGTATTCTCCCGTTTACTCTGTCCTGGAACTTTGTTTTCAGTTATATCCAACTGTTGATCATTCTTCCCATGTCTGTTTGCATCCGATTCTCGGTGTTATGTGTTTTAAAGTCTTACTTTCTGCCTTTGGCTTTGAAGATTTAAGTAGACCTAGATTTTAATCGTGTATTTGCTAATTCAGCAATACAAGTACACTATAGAGTGTCTACTATAATTCCTCTTCTTGTCTTGCGAAAACACTTTGATCATGCCACTCACTTTTATGTTATGATAGTCTTTCCTCTTGTAGCAACTACTAAGGGAGACTTTCTGCTGCATACTACTTATAAGCCGACTTTTGAGTAGTATGCAGCATACTGGTGATTCCATTCTGAGTGTAAACCTCAAGTAATCGAATGCTGACTTGTGCATTTTCAACAAGCCAGCTATAATGAAATAGTGAGGTGGTCAGATGTGGTCAAAACCAACCAAACTGCAACTGACGGTGAAGCTTTGGGAGAGTTAAAGCCCTTAACATATCGAAGCAGCAAAACTGATCAGCAAGGAGGATATGATGCACATGTGAAGGTGCGGATCGGCAAAACCAGAGCACCATTTCTACAATTGAAGATCATTCTAAACTCAAAACAACTATCTACCGACAACCAAAGTCACTATTTTCAATACAAATGTTAAGAGAGTTCTACTGTATGTGACGGAAGCTTGGAGAACTACGAAAACCCTCATTCAGAAGATACGAATGTTCATTAACGATTGTCTACGCAAGATACTTCGGGATGCATTGGCCAGACACCATCAGCAACAAATTACTATGGGAGAGGAAAAATCAGATTCCAGTGTAGGAGGAAATGAGGGTGAAGTGCTGGAAGTGGATAGGACATACATTGAGGAAAGCATCCAAATGCATCAAAGTTCAAGCCCTCATTCGGAATCTTCAAGGCTAACGGAAAATTGGAAGGCCAAGGAACACATTACTCCGAGAAATGGAGACACATATGAGAAGAATGAACGAAAATTGGACAGAACTGGAAGGGATAGCCCAGGACAGAGTAGGTTGGAGAACGTTGGTGGGCGGCCTATGCTAAATTGGGAGTTACAGGCGAACAAACTAAGGAAGAAAGCAGATATTCACAGACAAGTATTTGTAGATATTATTGGGTAGATAAATAGATTTTCCATTCCACTATTGAGTTCCCTCTCAAGTAGGCAGTTTCAACTATTACTTCAAGTCTCAGAAACTACACATTTTAACATAATACGTTCGCTCATATGAGACTTTTCAAGTGCATTGAAAGGGGATAAATAAAAAAGCAAGGCGGTATTTTAATGACTCTATTTATTTAACTCAATTAACGTAGTATGTCAACATTTAAAATCCGCCAGCTTCTAAACTACCAATCACAACATCAGTAAAACAAAACATTTGACCTTGTAAACTCATTTATTTATGTTCTGTTATAGATCAAAATGTGAGGTCAAATGGCATTATAAATGATAAATCTCATATGAGAAATAAATAAGACATTTTTGAAATCGCGAATCGATTCATGTTAGACTACTAATAATCTCCATAACTCCATAATGCAAATTACCTGTGCTCACTAGTGACTAGCTCTGTAAGGAATCTCCGAATTCTAATGAGAAGTCGTGACTAGTGGAGTTCACCTCCGTTCAATTGTGAAGCACTGCTCACCGAAGACAGTGGATGAGGTTGCGCAAGACCGTGAATCGATCGAAGTTACACATTAGCACCGTTAGATGCTGGATCAGTGGTCCAGAGGTTAAGCATTCTCAGAATAGACTGAAGGCCCTGGGTTCGAATCCTACAAGTGTCAGGAGTCGTCAACGCGCACTGCCATGGATGAGTCCCATACGATCGTGCAGGCATGTGTGTGTACGCTATGCGCGAGTACCAGTGGAGTTAGACCGTGTCAGGTGTGAGACAGTTACTAACTGAACATAATGGATGAGGTCACACAATCTCGTGGACTGAATGCAGTTACTCATTAACACCTCTTGACACAGTCTCAGTGGTCTAGATATTCACCGACAGTGATCAAAAACGAAGTCCTTGTTCTCAAGTCCAGTGTGAAAGTCGTTTATGCTCACTGTTGATGAGTCGCGTACTTTAAAACGAAAAGGCCTTCCAGCACTTAACAGTTTATCTCACGACAGTCTATTCATGATTTCAATGATACTATTTTGTAATTTTCCCACTCAGTTCTATTCTCAGTAAATCTTAAAAATCAATTTTCTTTCAACTACCTTTCTCCTAATGTTTATCAAAACTTTTCATCAGAGAAAAAAACGACTGATTTTCAACCTATTACAAAATGATTCTAAATATTTTTTCAAAGAACAATCTATGAATAATGAATATCGGTATTCATTGATTTGTAGATTATTACCAGTCTGAAAATTATTTTAAGTCAAAGATTGCTACATAAGTAAATCACGAAAATTCCTTATTTAATCAGTACCATGTACTTAAACAAATTACATTAGATCGAAGTGTTACGCCTGCACGTAACACGTCATTTTGATATGCTTGAACTATGACGAGTTTACCCCTTAGTCGGAAAACGAAAGCGAGGATCCAGTGACACGACATGCTACCCCGAATCCGATAATCCCAAACCCCATACTGAAGAAAAATAAGAAGACAAGACTTGATATGAAGTAAAACCTGTATTCTACAAGCATTCAGAAAGTACGAGGTCCGAGTCTAGAAGAGAATCAGGATCCTGGACTAGGGATCCGAGACCGGGTCCTGGTCCTGGTCATAGAACGTTACAGATAATGCGTATTTATACATTTGAGTCAAATAGGAAACAACATCGAAGTGTTTGACATTGACAGTTAAGATGACCAGCAAGAAGTAACATTTAGAGTGACACTGATAGTCAGATGGAGAGTTAGCGGCACTTACTCTTCATCTCAAAGTATAACCATGCATTTATAGCCACTTTCGGTGAACTCCTACTCAATGCCTTCTCATAGCAGAGATGTTTTTTACAAAATCTAGAGAATGTAAGTGAATGTTCAGTGCCTAAATCAAGTTGGTAAGTAAGGATGATCCAGTCGGATGAAATGGAAAACCTTTATTCCTAAACCAATGGTTCATCAAAGCTCCATGATCCTCAGCGAACAAACTGCTTATGAATCTAGTGTTAGTGACTAGTTAGCGTCGGACTGCATCCGCAGGTGTTGCTTAATTGCTTTGTGGAATAAACCCGCAAATCTTGATGAGTGGCCAACATGTCAGTATCCTAACCAACTCACAAAGTCAGTCACCTCTGTGGAGCACAAACATTTCGGCGCCACATAACTCTGATAGCACATTTTCTCAAATAAATAAACTTATTCACTTACAATCTTATTCTAACTTAAAAAAAATTATCACTTTAGGTTAAATATTTGAAATAACTAGTTCACTCTGTTTGTTCTTACAGTTAAACTACAAGATGATGAATTTTGGAATCCACGTCTATTGATCGATAATGCGGAAGGTGAACCAATTGAAATTATCAGTCATGAAGTAGAATGACGGCATTTGTCATGATTTTGAGAGTGTTATAATTTTGAGATGGTCGAGACAATTTGTAGCCCAAGTGAGTGATGGTGATGGAGTTTCTCTCTCTCTCTCTCTGCGCTGGGGATGTTTTGGTTGTGGTGAGTTCAGACAGCTTAAAGACTAATCAATAACCGATTAAGATCGAGGTTAATAGAATAAGCTACAGGTCATATGTGGATAAATTCGAATGGTTCAGTTCTTCTATCTGAAGTTTGTTCTGATGACGTTGTACAGTAGAAGAACAATGATGATAAATCCACAACCAAAATATCCTCAGCTTAGAGGATGAAACTCCATCACAGTGTTAGCATTGTGTATCTGTACTGGATAAGCCGATCATATTAGCTTACAATAGAGTCTGGTTGTCTACGCAAAATCCTTTGGAACCCTTAGCCAAACACCAACAACGACAACCAGATTCCAGTGGAGAAATAAATCAGGAAAAAGCTCTTCAAGTGGTTAGATAGGACACACATATATTACAGAAAACACCCATATGTTTCACAAGACAAGCCTTCACTTGAAATGCTCAAGGTAAAAAGAAAAGAGGAAGGCCAAGAAACACATTACACCGAGAAATAGGAAGAGATATGACAAAAAATGAACTAAAAATGAACAGAGCTGGAAAAGGAAGCCCAGAATGGAGTAGGTTGCAGAACAGTGGTCAGCTGCTGGTGCTCCATTGGTGGTGACAAGCACGGACTGAAATGTTAGGTTTATGTTTCAATGTGAACATCAGCACAAAGGTGTGGCGATGCAGTTGATGAGTATTTTAATAATATAAAGAGGACGAAACATAGTCTCGGATTTCACTATCAGTCAGTACCTAAAAATATAAACTATGCATCGTTGTGGTGGAGTTTCATTCTCTGAACTGGATATTTTGGAGCTTTGATTGTTCGTCTTCTTCTGAACAATAACATCATAGGCATAAACTTCAGATAGATGTGACGGTGTCTGTCACTTGTTATATTAGTATAATTATTGATTAAGAAGGAGTATTCCATGAGGCGAATCCCAGTCTTCCATGAAACTTGTCAACTGCATAAACATCTCCATCTTAGAGTTGATTTTCACACAGGAATATCAGTCAAGTACATTGGATATGCTTGAACGCTATTACGAGTTCACCTTAGTCGGTAAACGAGAACAAAGACAAATGATCCATTGACACGATAGGCTACGATAATCCGAGCATCACAAGCTGCCATACTAACGGTATCAAAAAGTCTTGATATTGGCCTAGAAAGTGTATTCTACAAGCACCCAGAAACTATGGGGTTTAGTACAGAAGAAGAAGAGGGGGAGCATAAAACTGTACAAACAATGCATATTTATACAGTCAGGTCGACTGTGAATACTAACCGCAATAGGAAAGAACATTTAAAAGTATGTGAACTTTATAGTTGAGGACGACTTTAACTGTTGACCAATAGAATTAGGATATTTGATGAATATCCTAGTCATCTAATTGATTGGGTTTATTAGGTGACGCGCATAAATGGAGCCTTTTGGGGGGTTATGGTGAAGTCTACCTCTTCGTGGTCCTGCCAGGCAACGTGTCGTTGTTTACAGAGCTACGGCTAAAAGCCGTTCCGAAGGCTTAGGATACCGTGCCTAGCATGGTCAAGAATAGTGGTACGTGTTCATGGTCGCAAGGCTGTGGATGCGGTTAGCCACTCTGGGGGATTAGAATTGAACGTCTTTAAGTCTGAATCCTGCCCATTGAGCGTAGGTAAATTCCGATAATGGTTTGATGACTTGTCCTCTATCATTCCGTAATAGCAAATACCTTGAAAGGGATGTAGCTTTCCAAGATGATTGAAGGCGGCCCTGGACGTTCTGTTTGGGGAAGCAGCCGTAGACATCCTGGACTATTGATGCCGACCCTATATTCCTTACAATCCGCACCCAATGTAGTGTGTTAACTGACGTCGAGGCCCCTTAAACAAGGGCCTCCAGTAAGGTTGTGGGGTTCCAGTGCTGAAATGGTACTGGACACCAATGATGCTTGCCCACTTAAGTAGTGGGATGAACCCCGTTTGGCTGAGCGCCTGCGCTTAGTCGAGCTCATGACATCTTCCTCATGGAAAGGTATACGTTCCGGCTGACCTTGTGGAACAAACTCGATCTTTAGCTTGATGTGGGGCGTCGGGGACTCCGATCGATTATATAAGCACAAGGCTGTTGTTGAAGGCCAGACAGTTGGAACGGCTACTAGTTAATGCACTGCTTGGGTGGCTCGATAATCCGCTTCGGGGCGCTAGGTCTAACTGGGATAGCCCATCTTACCGCCCTTGCCGATCGTGGATTGTGGGTAGTGGACTGGTTGGAGGGATCTTGTTGATTCATTAGTGCCCGAGCGGGGGGGCCACTGCTCATGTATGCGTGCTTTTTGGACGTTCACCTGTCCACCAGACCAAACTGGACAACATGTATGTTTTTACACATTCGAAATCATTATTCAATCATAATTGTTAGACCACCATTAGAAACCTGGAAGCACTGGACGGCTGTTTCGTCCTAGTATGGGACTCCTCAGCAGTGCGCATCCACGACTCCTGCTCCTCGCAGGATTCGAACCCGGGACCTTCGGTATTGTAGGCGAACGCCTTACCATCGGACCACTGGGCCGGCATCCAACGGTGTTAATGTCTAACTCTGACTGATCTAGGGATTTTGCGCGACCTCACCCATTTGTCTTTGGTAGTTACTGCCTACACCCGACAGGGTTGAACTCCACTGGTCACGTCTTCTCAACTAGAACTCCGAGAATTTCCTCACGAAGCTAGTCACTAGTGAGCACTGTTATGATATATTGGGGCACAGTTTTTTGGAGGTTTGCGTTGATGATTGATTAATGATTTCAAATGTGTAAAAACGCAAACCTCCAAAAACTGTGCCCCAATATAACATGTATGTTCCCGATTGGGGCAGGGGTGATTATTGAACGGCTACAGTGAGAATCTTTGTGTTGCCTAAAAAAAAGCAGCGGTGTGCATGTGCAGCAGGGTTGATGGTTAACCATGCATGACGTAGGAAACAAAGTTTGCTATAATCCATTGAGCAATGCTGTTCAAACGATGTTTAGACTTAGTTAACCGAATATTTTCATGTTTATATCACCTTTTTTTTTCTTTCAATTAAAAAAAGGGTTTCTATTCTTCTTCTTATTATGAATAAATCATTAAAAATGAAATTATAATTAATCTTTATTAAATAATTATTACGTGATTTATTGATGGAAAAAATGACAAAAATAATTCATATTTTTTGTTTGCATTTCAAGTTGTGTGTTAATTGATTCTTTAGTTGATTAGTCACGTTTTTTGCATCTTGTACAGATTACCTCAATATTGTCGTTTAGATTTTGAAGCATGATTAGAAGATGCGCGGAATAGTGGTTAGCAGTGGACGCTTCATTCCAACGCGGAGTGAATATTAACTCTAAGATGTAAGTAATAATATATTGCTGACGAGTTTCTAAACAAACGGGACGAAACAGGATTAGAACACGTGACCTTCGGCACTGTGTGCGAACGCCTAACCATCGAACCACTGGACCGGCGTCCGACGGTGTTAATGTCTAACTCTGACTGATCCAGGGATTTTGCGCGACCTCACCCATTTGTCTTTGGTAGTTACTGACTACACCCGACAGGGTTGAACTCCATTGGTCACGTCTTCTCACTAGAACTACGAGAATTTCCTCACGAAGCTAGTCACTAGTGAGCGCTGTTACGAAGTGCAGGAGTCGTGGATGCTCACTGTCAATGATAAGTCCCATACCAGGACGAAACGTCCGTCTTTCAGTGCTTCTTGCACGTTTCTAATGGTGGTGGTCTAACAATGATTGATTGATTGATTGATTTGAAATGTGTAAAAACACCAACCTCCAAAACTCTGCACCAAAATATCAATAATCTGTTAATTTGCAAACTGATTATCACTTTGCATGGATTTTATTTCTATTTAACTGTTAACTTTGATATGTTTTGTAAAATCTCTTGAAAGAACTAATTGAAGTGAAGCATTATTTTTTTCGCTTACTTGTTAGGTTCGTCACTAGGTAGGCTTATAAACTACTACGGGTTCATCTTAGTCGATAAACGTGAACGAGACAATCGACCAGCGTCCAGGTAGGCTACCTTGATCTGTTGACTAATGAAAAGTCTTGACGTAGCGTAGAAAGTATATTTTACAAACATCCAGTAAGCACAATCCAATCAAGCACACAAATCTCGCTTATTTATACATCACAGAAACGTCTTTGGGACAGTCATAACAATTAGCACACTAACATACACAGCAGACAATCACAATCAAGAATTTTCCTTGTGGGAAATGAAATCTCAAGTCCAACTGATCAGCCCATACTGGCAAACGTGAAATCCGAAATAAGGCATTATTTATCAAGCAAGTTCTGTGGATCTAACATCCTCAACACTTACGACTTGTACTTTTCTTTCTAAGGCTTAGAACTATTTCACAAGAATAAATAAACATGATTCACAAACACAAGGATCAAGCCCAGAATCATCAGATTTTTAAGTAGAACTTCTGGAAGTAGATGGAATCGACTTTGGGGAAAGTACTCAACTGCATTGCAAGACAAGCTCTCACTTGAAATCCTCAAAGCCAAATTTAAAGAAGAAGGCCACGGGACACATTATGCCAAGAAATCGAGACAGACATGGGAAGAATGAACAGAAAATGAACGGAACTAGAAAGGAAAGGTGGAGGACAGAGAAGGTTGGTGAATGCTGGTCAGTGGACGATTCTCCATTTAGAGTAACAGGATTAAGTAACGTAATTAATTCTTTTTATGTAGAAGAGATGAAATATGGCCAGCGAAGGAATCAAAAATACATGTTTCGTCCTATGTTGTCACTCGTCAGCTAGATTTAGATTCATCTCAGAGTTGATATTCACACTGTAGGATTCATAATCAGTACCGTTCACTTTTAAACGCC